ACACACAGACACACACACACAGACACACACACACACACAGTAACTCACTCACAGTCTCACACACACTCGCCCACTCATTGTCAGACACTCAGACACACACACACACACTGTCAGTCTCTCTCTCTCTCACACACACACACATCACAAACACACTCTCGCTCTCACACACACACACATCACAAACACACTCTCGCTCTCACACACACACACATCACAAACACACTCTCGCTCTCACACACACACACATCACAAACACACTCTCGCTCTCACACACACACACACTCTCACTCTCTCACACACACACACACACACTCACACACACTCACTCACTGTCACAGACACACACAGTAACTCACTCACAGTCTCACACACACTCACTCACTCATTGTCAGACACTCAGACACACACACACACACACACACACACACACACACACACACCTCTAACGCAGCACAGGGAATGGATAAACAGCGACTTTCAGAAACAGATGCTAGAAAAACCTTGCATCATGATCACATCTGTAGAAAGATGTATTAAAAATAGCCCTCATAATTATTACAAATTATGGCTTATCCAAAGGGTTTGATTTGGTATCAGAGGATATAAAACACGTACCAACCCAGATATTCACGCAACGCCATTGATTCGGGCCACTTTCTCACAATCAACAGAGGAAAATCAATTAAGAGAAGAGCAAAGTTAAGATAAATCACACAAAGTACTTTTAGCCAGATGAATTAAACAAAAGGAATAAGTAGCGGATAAAAATACTCACAGAGAATGATAAAAGTTAGATTACGTCTACAGATGGAAATGTACAAACTTTGGACTTGTGATACATAAATTACAGCTAAAAGAGTTGAACTGGATTAGGACGCCAGAATTAAAAGGTGACCAAATAAAATCAAGCAAAAGTCGATACGAGACTGCTAAATTAGTGAACGACCCTCGGTTTACATGAATAGAGGCGTCAAATCTAACGTTTCTGCTGGCAGACGCTGACAGAGCTCTGACGGATCACGGGTCCGCGACAGAAACCAAACCGATCCTCATCCTCCGAAACCCCAGCCTGACGGGCCTCGTCTGCTTCTGCTGCACCTGCAGGACCAAACACACACGGCACGTCACCGGCGCACAGGAACTGGAAATACCACGGGAATGAGAGCGATACACATGCACATTCTTAAGAAAGAAGTTAAAACCTTAAGATAAAGTCTAAGAAGTTCAGAAGAATTTTCCTCTCAAGAAGTGCCGTTCTTGAAATATCTCAACTATTTTCTAAAGGAGGAGGAAGGGACAGGCTTTAGTGATGTTATGTGCTGAAGATGAAGTCCTGTTCGCTTCACAGCAGTAATAGTAATATGCAACGTCTTTATGGCTAGAGTTATGCTGTAATGCTCAATATTAAAATGATCTTTACGAACAATCTTTTCAGGAATTCAAAATCAAAGTTCTGTCTTTAGAACAATCTTAAGAAAAAGAGATGAGAACATTATCAGTATTTCTGGGAATGCAAAATATTTGTAACTTTATTCTCGAGTTCGAGAATGAGAACATATCGGTTCAGCAGGATTTCATTCGTCAGAATCCCACAGCAGAAGCACGAAGAACGGACTATAATAACAACAACAGGTAAGAACTGTTATGATTCTGAGTGCTGTTCAGAAAGCACATGTGAGAGCAAACGGGCAGCTGGAGCAGAAGTGTTTCTGAGAGCATGTGTTTGTGCTGAACGAGTGCTAGAAACACCAGAACACCTTCACAAAGCAACCAGAGCTGAACACGAGCGCCAACCAGATGCCTTGTCTACTAATGGAGACTACTATGCATGCTGGCTTTAAATATGGGCCAGATGTATCTGAGAGACTGCAGTCGTCCCGTCAGAGCAGCCGCAGGTTCCTTTAAGAGCTTCAGAAGAACCTCTGGACATCATTCAGCACGTTCAGATTTCAGAAACAAAACGCAATACAAATTTACAATTGGTCAAATAATAGAACATTTGTACCATTTGTTTTCATTGAATAAAACGCTTGATTAACTGATGTATTTCCATGGTCTTTCAAAGACTCGTTCAGCAGTAAACGAGAGGAAGGCTCTGAAGAGGCTCGTGTTCAGATCATGTGATGGAGACTCACCTGAGACGATCAGCAGGAGTAGGTTCTGACAGCAGCTGAATCCAGACGCTGAACACTCACACCTCCTGCAGCGCCACAGCACACGCATTAGTCACACACGCACACACACGCACACACGAACGCATGCACACTCTCTCACACACACACTCTTGCACACACGAACGCATGCACACTCTCTCACACACACACTCTCTCGCACACACACACACACACACACACACACACACTCTCTCTCTCTCACACACACACACACACACACTGATAACAGCCAATCACTCGTACCATCCAGCTGTGATTTCTTGGTCAGCAGGGCGGCGGAGGACGCGTCTCCAGCGCTAACTCTGAAGCTAGCAGGCAGTGTGTCGGCGGAGCTCACACTCATTCCGCGCACGTCTTTGGGCCGGAACTTCTTCCTCCAGGATGGCGCGCGGCGGAAGTTCTTGTCATCATCCTGTGGAGAAACGGCTGTGATGTGAAGTGCTCAGATATGATACACAGACTGACGAGCGGACTGAACTCACCTCCTCTAGTCTCCTCTCCGTTCCTGCGGCTAACAGACGGCTGTACTCGTGCTCCAGTACCGCCCTCGACTGCGGACACATAGCACTGACATTTACTGAAGTGTGACATCTGCATCTCTGCACAAAACAACATACTGACCACAACACGTCAACAGGACTTTCTACTGTGCCGCACACATCAGCCATCAGAGCACAACACTCTCACGCTCATGAATGAGTTGCTTAAGGAATAAAATGACCCAACGCTGACTGTTCTGCCTGTTGATCTTTACACAGCTAGTAACCTATAGTGTGACATGTAGTCCTATTTAGAGCACGGAAGATGCGGATTTGATAATCTGGACAAGTCTGCATCAGGCCGATCCAATCCAATGCTTCTTTGAAAACATGGATTACCTGTTTATAGACTGCAGGGTTATTGCAGATATATGGGTTATATATCTGCAAAACAATATTATTGTGTGCTGTTCTGACATGTGCTTATTCTGAGTGCGTGAAGCGTGTGAACTGAAAATCCTGTCAAACAGCGCCTGATTACTGGACACGTCTGATTGCACTAATACTGTCAAAAACACACAAGCGTTACATATAAACACAGCTGATTATGTCTTAAAGCTGCACTGAGTGATTTTTGCCAAACGATGTTGATATCTGAAAGCACCAAAACAAACTCGCCCAGACCCCAACAGGACCTCGCCCCTATTTTGATAACTCCGCCCACACCTGCGTATACAACCCTGCCAGCGACGATGGTGGGTCTGCTGATTGGCTGCGAGTGTGTTTCGGGACTCGGTCCGACACTGTGGTCAAAAGCGTTATTCAAGAATCACTTAGTGCACCTTTAAGTGAAAGTAAAGAGTTGAGAGAGAAACAGATGTGTGCAGCTCCTAACGTGACAGCAGACTAATAGCACTAAACATGCTGCCGCTTGTCATTAAAGGGAGAGTTCAGCCAAAAATTACACATCACTCATTATTTACTCACTCTCATGTTGTCCCAAACCTGTATTCATTTCTTTCTGGTGCAGAACACAAAAGAAGATATTCCGAAGAACGTGGATAACCCAACAGTTGCTGATCTCCACTGACTTTGATAGTAAGAAAAACCACTGTGGAAGTCACTGAAGACCAGCAGCTGTTCGTTCCCACACTCTTCAAAACTACTTATGCTCCACAGAAGAAAGAAACTCACTCAGGTTTAAAACAGCTTGAGATTGAGAGTGAGTAAAGTGTTTTATTTTATTATTTAGTGCTTTTATTATTTATTTTGATATTTGTTCATTCAGTTTCTTGAGTGCTACTGCTAGATACACCTACTGTACCTGAAAAATAAAGCTCGTTTTATTTGTATATTTGTAATGTGTATCTGTCATTATTTTATCTTTGTTATTAAAAAATTTAAGCACAAAGATTTTTATCTTCGACTATTTTGGCCTAAATGTCTGTTTATATTTTGTTACCTTGTAAGGCTTTGTTTTTAAAACAGGGAAATTAGTTTGGCTGTGCTGCTCAGACAAAAATAGTAAAACCGACATGACAGAATCGTGATTTGATATTTTTGCCACATCGCCCACCCCATCCGGATCCAGATTAAATGTTTTACATAGTATGCCGTTATGTGCGTGCGTCTCACCTGAGTGCACTGTGTAGGGATCTGCAGCAGCAGCGCCAAGGCGTTGTGGTCGAAGGACTCGTCTAAAGCGAGGAGCGATCCGTGAACGCCGCTCTCCAGAAGATTCCCAGCATACTCCTTCAGCCCGATGGCCTGGACCCAGCTGAGCACGCGCTCGTTCGTCCACACCAGCACATCTGCAGCGGCAGCAGCGTCAGCACACACTCACACACACAGCACAGAGACGCAGACCAACACGCTCACCTTTGACCTCCACCTGGGACTCGTCACGCCTCCGCTCCAGCTCTTTCCTGTCGTAGTTCAGTCGTCTCAAACACATCACGCCACACTGAAAACTGTTCCTGCAGAGCGAGAGAGCACCAGCAGCAGGGTTCAGCAGCCAAACAACACTGCTCTTCTAGTCAGAGAAACTGATTATCTTTGCAACAACACACACACACAAACACTCACACACACTCACTCACTCACTCAAGATACACAAACACTCACACACACACACACACATACGCATGCACACACACAGACACATGCACACTCTCTCACTCGCACACACACACACGCGCACACATGCACACACATATTCAGACATGCACACACAAACACACGCACGCACACACACACACACACATACGCATGCACACACACAGACACATGCACACTCTCTCACTCGCACACACACACACGCGCACACATGCACACACATATTCAGACATGCACACACAAACACACGCACGCACACACACACACACACACACACCACAGAAACCACTCTCTCCCATGAAGCACTGCAGAGGTTGTAATGAGTCGGTTTCCTGATATTCACAAACTATTTTTATGCAGTTAAAACATGGTGTTTAATATAACTGCACTGCTGATTTGGATTCGGTTATAATGTAGTTACACACATTAAAAATGACCATAAGATGGAATTGACTTTTCGGTTAACTTCAGCTCTCAAACACCGGTAAACTCTGCAATGTCACTGATCTGACCTTCATCCGCCCAGAATTCATAATCTGTTCAATTTGCCGTTGAGTGACGGGCGTTACTGTAAACAGCGATTGGCTCATCGCAGACGTCTCACGTTAACACCTCCACACCGGCAATCCTAGCCTTGTTCTCTCATAATATCGAAATGGTTATTAACCTCCCATCCCGGGAAAACTGCCAGAAGTGATTTAGCTGCATTTCAGGTTCTGTTCACACCTGATCTCTGTGTTCTGGACGAGGTGTGAATGTGTGAAAGTACTCGATGTACATTAGGTACACACCTTGTACCTACAAAATAAACAGGCTGGCTGTTCAGTTCAGGGCTTAAACTCAATTTAAAATAGTAATCGATGGGGAAAGTACTTCTGGAGGCCAGACAGTGGGAAACCAGGCGGTGTTTTGGTGCTCAGGACTGACCTGTGGAAGCTGTCCACCATTTTGAGCTGACTGCGCAGGTCTTTTTTGGTCAGATGATCCAGCATACGAGCGTCCACCAGCGACTCCATGAAGTAGCTGCGGTACTGAGGCAGACCGAGGCTCGGCAGCCAGTCGTTACCGATCCACTCGTGGTTCATGTCACCATACGCCAGAGTCTGAGTGTGAACACACACACATTCAGTCAGAACACGACTCACCTAAAAACATAACACTATACAACAACAACAACTCCATACACTCAGATTGATCATAACCACATTAGGTTAGAGAATCATCCTCCTGTCTTGAGATAAAACCATCATCAGTGTGATCCAGAAACACATGGATTTCAAAGATAAAGACCAGCAGATGTTGCCTAACATGATGAAGAACTGCACATCCAGGTCACATCTCAGACTCAAAAACAACTGGATTTCCTGCTAAACATCTGAACGGGCTGCATTTGCCCAAAACTAAATACTTCTGAGTTGTTTTGGTCTGATGGTGAAGTGAAACGTGACCTGAACGAGTTTCACGATTCATGTCCTCCAACACAGATAAAAGAGAAAGACTGAGGTTCAAACCTGGGCCCAGCTGCCCTCCTCATCCTCCTGGTGTTAGCAGGTTAGCATGTGGAGCAGAGGTGAGTCAGTAGTGGAACAGAAACATAACGTGACACAGTTAATCATCAGCGCTGCATGCAGGCGATCACAGCGAGCAGCGAAGCACAAACACGCATTAGCATTAGCGTGACGCTGACAGTGACTGACCGTGAGTGGCGTGGCGGCCAAACTCTCCATCTCCTCGTGTGTGAGCCAGACATTTCCAGAAGACTACAGAAATCCGTGAGTGAGGAAAGACGGAGTGAAAGAAGACATTAGGAGAGCAGAAGAGTCTGTTATTGAGCTGCGGGAACATTAGTAAAGCGATCACAAACATCCCATCAGGGGTTAATGTGTGAGGCGTGCGAGAGAACAGACACGTACTACGGTAAAAACCAACCGGAGCAGCAGAAGCGTGGTAAAGTTTACCAATATCAGTTTCAGGCCAGAAACCTGAGGATTTCACAACGAGACGCCTGAACTAATGAATCAAATAACCCTCAGATGATCTGGCAAAAAATTTGATTTAAAACGTGATAAAAAAATTCCAAGTTTGTTGTGGTTGTTTATAGGGCTGCAAATTTGGCCAAAATGTTGTTATGTATCAATATGGCTATAAATTATAGTAATAATGATGCTATTAATAATTATTATTACTACTACTACTACTAAATAAAACTACACCAATTACTGCACAGAAACAAAATAAGAAATATTTCACTGTAAAATAGCAACAAAAAAAAAAGTACTAGTGTAAAATTATAATACTAATATTTATTGCGGTCTTAATTTAATTTTCATCAAACTTTAGTTTTGATGGAAAACTGCTGGAAGCCTTTGAATCTTCTCTTTTGTTGATAAACGTTTGTGAAGATGGTTGGCTCATGATGAGTTCCCAAATGCATGTGAAAGCGACTCAGACTCAGAGCAGATGCATGATTTACGGTGAACCGAGTCGCTCTGAAACACTACATCACAGCCTTTAGGATCCGATCATCGCTGAGTGATGCCATGATGTGGATTGATCACGCAGCTCTACACACTCTGCTTCAGTTTCTATTAGACTGATCTGAGAGCAAAACCTCCAGGAACCGAGCGCTGATATATTAGAGGGTTCTTTAATGGATCGTGTGTTTCCTACCGTTCTGGAGGTAGGTGGCGCTGACGGGCTGGTGAGAGACATGATCTCCTGAATGGCGAGGCGTAGTTTGAGGCGGTGAAGAGGGTTGCTGATGCCGATCTCGCGCTGGATCTCGGTGTCAGACAGGGCAGACATGATGGCTCCGCTCTTCACATTAGCACGGCACGCCGCTACATACCACGCAGGCATCCCGACCCACAGCTGAGAGAACACAACAACAACAACACGGGCCAATGAGAACCTCGAGACTGACGGCATTACAAACACTTGAGCTTTCACTTCCTCCTCATCAGCCTCTCCCTGTGCCACATTCCACTGAAACTGCAACTGTGTTCCCACAGGAACAGCACAAGCTTTACCACGTTTACTCTTATCGCTAGTTCTTCTGCTGTTTACCCATAAACAGTCTCAGGCCAGAAACCTGAGTATTTCACCAAAATGTTCTGATCCCTTATCAATATAGCTTTAAAATTATAGTAGTAATAATAATATGAATAAAAATAAACATCATTATTATTATTACAACTAAATAAAACATACAAATTACTACACAGAAACAAAATATTACTAATATTCAAAATATTTCACTGTAAAATAAGAAAATTTCGTATTTATGAAAATAAATTATTTTACATTACGAGTTTGAAAATATAACACTAATATTGAGAAGCCTTAAGGGCTTAAATAAAGTCTGCAGGAAGCCCCTAAAGCTTCTCTTTCATTGATAAACGTTTCTGATCACACGTTTGTGAAGATGTTTGGTTCATGCTGTGTTCTCAAAATCATGTTAAAGCGACTCGAGCTCAGAGCAGTTCATGTGAAGCATTTACTGTGAACCGAGTCGCTCCGAAACGCTCAATCAATGATTTCAGTTTTAGTTCGAGTAACTGTGCAGCCCTACACTCGACATTAAAGGGATAGTTCACCAAAAATGAAAGTTCTGTCATGAATTACTCGCCCTCATGTCGCTCCAAACCCGTAAGACCTTCGCTCATCTTCAGAACACAAATGAAGATATGTGAGCCGTGCTGGCAACACCAGTCAGAAAGTGACGGGATCATTTTGAGCTACAGGCAAAAAAAAAAAAATAGTGAAACATTTTAGTCAAATTTGAGGTTTTCACAAAAATGAGTTCATTAAGCCCTCGTCTAGCGATCCCAATGCTCCAAATAATAATGAAACATCTAAAATGATCTTTATTTGTACGTTTTCTGAAAGGAGTACCTTTTCTTCGTTCGCTCCTCACGCTGACTGTCATCCGAAGCGTGTGATCCCGATAAACATACACACATACACAGTATTCACGCAAACATAATCGGTTGTCTTAAGTGAACGTTAGGGGAAAAACATCTGATGTGTAACATTATATTAGATCCGTGCATTACAGTGGGTCTGCCTCATTAATGCTAATCTAACAATAAAAGAACCACTCGCTGCTCTTGATTGAACTGCTTTTGTAGTTTTAATACTCAAGTTTATTTGTAATAAACACAGTAAAGGAATTTTTACATTTGATTATTTAGTTTTTCTTGAATGCTTTTAGATGTAAAATGAAAAAGGTAATGCATTATTTGTTTCTTTCTTATATTTGTTCTACTGCTTTTTTTTTGCATCTGTTCTTATAATAACAAAGATCAAATAAAAAAAAAATGATTCCAACAAATCATACATCATTCTGAAGATCTTTTAATCTGAATGTGAAAATTAAAATAACTCATTTTTGAAAAATTGCTCATTGTGACTAATTTTGCCAGCACAGGACATCGTTGAAATAGTCCATGTGACATCAGTGGCTTAACCGAAATGCTATGAAGCAACGAGAATACTTTTGGTGTGCAAAGAAAACTAAAATAACGACTTTATTCAACAATTTCTTCTCTTCCGTGTCAGTTCTGTTGCTGTCTCTGCAGGGTCAGAGAGCTCTGGGATTTCATCAGAAATATCTACATTTGTGTTCTGAAGATGAGCGAAGGTCTTACGGGTTTGGAGCGACATGAGGGCGAGTAATTAATGACAGAACTTTCATTTTTGGGTGAACTATCCCTTTAACCTACTTCAGTTTCTAGGAGCGTGAAGCTTGTTTTCTAGACTGATCTGAGAAGAAAACCTCCATGTGTTGATGTCTGGCAGGTTCCACCTGTGATAACGTTGCAGGATATATTCGAGAGTTATTTAACGGGTGTTTCCTACCGTTCTGGAGGTAGGTGGCGCTGACGGGCTGGTGAGAGACATGATCTCCTGAATGGCGAGGCGTAGTTTGAGGCGGTGAAGAGGGTTGCTGATGCCGATCTCGCGCTGGATCTCGGTGTCAGACAGAGCAGACATGATGGCTCCGCTCTTCACATTAGCACGGCAGGCCGCTACATACCACGCAGGCATCCCGACCCACAGCTGAGAGAACACAACAACAACAACACGGGCCAATGAGAACCTCAAGCCTTACAGTATCAGGGCAAACTGCCACGCTTGTGCTTCCACTTACTCGTGATCAAACCCTCCCTGTGCCACACACAAATGAAACTGCAACTGCCTTCTCGTTAGGAACTACCAGAAGTCACATACATGAGGAAATACCACAGTCATGCTGATTCACAGCTGTAATGGAAACACTGATCTGCTACTGCGACTGGATGATGCAGCACAGATGTGAAGCTCAGCTGTACTGTAGATGTGTCTGTACCTCAAGCCACACCACCACCGTGGGACCGTCCCAATGAGCGAAGGGCAGACCCTGCCGACAGGCTTCCTCCAGCAACTCATGTCTGAAAACACAAACAAGACATCATGAGCACGCATGCATGTGCAAAGAGCACGCTTTATGGTACAAACATGTCAGAATGATAATATGCACATGAGAGCAGAACCCAGATGGAGTCACACAGACAGAGAATGAGAGATGCGTGCAGAGGGGAAACAGCAGCTGGGTTAGCAAGAGAAAGTGTCCAGACCTCTTCACTTCCACCATCAAATCAGTGCAATACCTCGCCTGAACAACCTGGGATTCAGTGTCTTCATCACATGCGAAACGATGCATCTTTACTGATAAAAGGGGGAGCAAGTTAGATTTATTTTCCTATTTTTGAGAGAACTATCACTTTCGGTCATGATAGACGGTGAATCTTGAACCTATGCTTGCACACGCTGGGGCAAATATTCCTCACAGACACACTTTCTTCATTCTTCTCTAAACAAGATGTTAGGAAACATGTTTTCATCATGCCAAAACGCAGAGAAAGCAGCAGGACACCTTTCGAAGGCGAAGTTTCAAATGCACCCAAAACACCAAATCACATTCTCATGTTCGTTCTTTTTGCATAATATCAGGTTATGCAGCTACTGAAGCATTAAGAGGAAAGGAGAATGCAGATAAACATGCATCACGTCATGCCGAAGAATGAAGAGAAGCATTTGGTCCTGAACGAGGCTCTGAGACCCATAATGCACTTCAGCAGAGGCCGGTCCCGACAGCTAGTGTTCTTCCTCGAGCAGATCATCAACCATGTCCCGTCTCCTTTTCACTGGATACAACTAAACCTGGATCATTTCACATGCATTCTGCATTTTTCCATGTGAAAGAAGCATCAGTTTCTGGTCACCTGTGCCATTTCCGACCAGTTGAAATGTCAGTGCATCCCTGCTTTTAACCACAAACTCTCACAACTGCTTCTAGAAGATACGCTCATCTTTCTAACACATGACAGTTTCACGTTCCCTTCTGTGCTCACAGCTAACGCTCTTCACCGACTCCTCTGCAGCGCTGATCACTAAATACATCCATGCATCAATCTAGGAATTAACCAACAGTTCTGACACCACTGGTTATCAACTGCTCATCTGAAGCGTTAGACGAGCAGATGCAGCGGGTGAAATCGAGTCTGTAAAGGTCAGATGTTAGTAGAGCTGAAGTGCATCACAGCAAGCATGAGACGTGCAGGTGCTTTCATCACGCTTTACCGCTCCAACATCACCGAGACGGTCTGTGGTCACTTACCCTGACTTTGGGCTATGAGTGAGGCGTGGGAAGAGTGTGTGAGGAGAGAGGAGGGAACACAAGCAGAATGAGCCACTGAGACATGAATCATGACACATCATCTTCTGCTGGGAGACTGACCACACGTTTAACAACAAACAACAAAACTAAAACAGACGGGAAAGCATCGTCATTACTCATGACAGTCAGTGAAGACGAACTGAACTCGAGATCAACTGACCGGACTCATTTCTACTTCTCGTTTCAAACGCTACTGATGCGTCACTCACTTCTTCTGCAGCTTTCGGTTCTTCTCTGCAGGGCCGCCCATCTTCCCGAGCGTCATGGCGTCCTGTGCACCTCCTCCATCAGGCGAACCTGCCAGCGCTGATCCACACAAACACACCATCACATCAGCTTGTTCTCTCGAGTGTTTGGCTTGCAGTGGAGGAACAGTAGTATCATGTATACTGTCTGAATCTCTTCTTAACACTAGCTGTAAACTATTAAACTACTATATATAATGCTGAATATGATGTATGATAATAACAGTGGGAAACTGTAACCCCAAATATCTGTTGTATCGGTGACCGAGTGCATGTATCTCACAAAGTATTTTCAGCTAAGCAGAATCATGAATATTTCTATATCTCTGCGCATTAGTCCAAACCCAAGATCATTCAAGTTCAACCTTGATGTTGTAATACCAATTATGTCATTTTATGAATAGTGCTTGGTAACACTTTACAATAAGGCTCCATTTGTTAACATCAGTTAACTATATTAGTTAACATAACTAAGATTGAAAATCCTTCTAAAGCGCTTCTCAATCTTAATGTTATAACTTCAACATTTACTAACACATCGTAAAATACAAAAGTTGTATCTGTTAATGTTTACTGGACCTTAGCTAACACGAACTAACAATAAACAGTTGTACTTGACAAAAATAAAAAAATAAAGTAACAAATGTTTTCCTCATTGTTAGTTAAAGAGATGAGATGAAATTCTGTCATTATTTACTCACCCTCAGGTTATTCCAAACCTGTATGAGTTTGTTTTTTCTGTTGAACACGGAAGATATTTTGAAGAACGTTGGTACCCAAACAGCTGATTCTCCCCACTGACTCTCACAGTATGGAAAAAAATACAATGGAAGTCAACGGAGACCATCAACTTTTGTGTTCAACAGAAGATATAAACTTTTACAGGGTTGAGTAAATGATGACAGGATTAAAATTTTTGGGTGAACTATCCCTTTAATGCATTAACCAACATTAACTAGTGGGACCTTATTAAAGTGTTTTGCTTCTTTATGCTGTTTATCAAATCCCATTTTAAATTTCCCATTCCCAAATCCCATTTTAAATCCCTTTTTAATTTTGTCTTTGTTCACAGTATTATGAGAGTATTGTATCGTGAGTTCAGTATTGTGTATCGACCCGTATCGTTCATTCTCATTACTGCGATATTTGACATTTAAATGAGGCAGTTAAACTCATCGTCTCATTGCAGTGATGAGAACATGGGGCTGAATGTAACGATGCAAGAACATAATAGTGTGAAAATAGGCTTTGGAGCATTGAACCCTGATGAGGTGTGGATGATGGCACACCTGGCCCAGGAGACTCTTTCCCCAGCGGACTGGGTCGAGCCTTTTCTTTCTTTGCGAACAGTCGGCCGATGGAGGACTTGATGCTCTTCTTCTTGGCTCCTTTATTGAGTGAGTCCTGACTGCTGTTGCTGCTGCTGGGATTACTGCCCGCTCCGTCCTGCAGCCCGGCGCTGGACACACACACACACACACAGACAGAGACACACACACACACACAGAGACACACACAGAGACACACAGACAC